CTTGTTTTCTTCCAGATGAGCTGATTGCTTTCTTACAGAAGGTTGCATCTGAAGCCCCTGCAGTTCCATTTTATTACTACCACATTCCTCCTCTGACGGGTGTGAAGAGTAAGTACTGTTTAGTCGGCTCTTCCTGAACCTGTGGGCTCATAGCAACCTGATGATCCTGGTGGCTGCTGTGATTAATCTACCAGTGGTATGTGGCCTCTGCTCCCATCACATGCAAGTTGTGGTAGAAAGAATCCTTTCCAAAAATGAGATGTGAATCCAAGTCTGGAAAATAAATTTATTTCCTCTTAGTTGAAAAAAGTCATAGTTTTTGAATACTCAAGAACTGGGGCAGAGGAGGTGATGCCAACCATGGCTTTGCAATTAGTGTGAACCAGGACAGGTAATTGTCTTGGATAACCATAGCTGAATCCCCATTTTTTTTCAAGATAGTTACCACTGTCTCGCTTGGTATACTCTGCATAGTCATGTTTGCTAGTAAAAGCTGTGTGAAACTGTAGTGCTTCTCAGGTCTGACTATTTAGCTATTTAGGAACAAGGAATAGAATACAGATCTTTGGTTATTTGCTCTAGACAGCAGATGATGTGGTGTTTCTGGATGTGTGAATTTATATTTATTCTTAACTATGCTGTTGCCAGTTTGTTCCTGAACTTTCACTTCTCCAGAAATTTTCCCTTCTGATCTAGTAAAAGGAATGTTTCCAAGAGGGTGAAAAGATGTCTTTAGGATAACTCTGGGAAATAATCACACTGAAGTTGTCTTACTGGTTGTTTTAGAGCTATGTAGTTTAGTAGGCTTAGGCCAAAAGTGAAACAACTTGTGAAACAGTAAACCTCCCTCTTGGGGACAAGACGGAGAGATCTCCCAGGACCAGGGGTGTGTTTCTTCATACGAGACTGCTGTTCTGTACAGTTCGTGTTGAAGAGTTGCTGGATGGAATAAAAGAGCAGATCCCCACCTTCCAGGGCGTGAAGTTCAGCGACACGGACCTCTTGGACCTTGCACAGTGTATAAACAAGAATGAGAGAGAACAGTTTGTCTTTCTTTATGGAGTGGATGAGGTAAGTGGCTCCTCTTAAATCCTTTCTGCTATGGAATTGTCTTGCTTCAGCCTTGGGAAAAAAAGTAATCCTGGACATTCAGTGCCAGGTAGTTTTGCTGCTCCCTCCTACCACCCCGGTTTTTTTTTCTTTATTTTGTTATGTGAAGTAAAAAAATTTTTTTTCTCCCCCTCCCCCCACCTAGCAACTGTTGAGTGCACTGGCAATAGGGGCAAACGGAGCAGTTGGAAGGTCAGTATTGCCTGGATTCCCTCCCCTCAACACACACACTATATTGTTGCCTATTCCACTATCAGCACAGTATTTCTTCTAACTACCTTCTGTGGCTGCAGTGGAGGATTCTGGGGGGGTGGGGCTGTACAGTAGTGAGCAGATGGGTAAGCTAGCTCCAGTGCTTGCAGTGGGACAGTCATGTAACCCAGGATGTTGGATTATGTTTGTTTTAGTGATTATTGCTGCAGTCTGTAAGCTGACCCAAAGGTTTCAACATAGATCTTCATCCTCACAGCAATTTTTTGAAGTAGTGAATTGCTTATATCTTTGTTAACATGGGAAAGGAACCGAAACCCAGAGAGGTTAAAATTGTTAGTTCACATGAGAAATCTGTGAGGAAAAGGGCTCTGCTGAGTATAATTTCTGATTTGTCTTCTGCCCCTTGTACCAGGCTGCTTAGATGAGTTACTGTGATAGGTGTCTTCTCGTGCAGATGATCCATTAAATGGACAAGCGACTGGCAGATGAAGTGACTGACTTCCTGTATTGCTCAATTGTGTCCTTTTAATTTTAAGAAGCAGTTCTATTGGAAAGAACTGGGAAGAGAAATCTGCTCTTTAGACTCTTTGTAGGGCTTGGCATATTTCAGATGCTTGACAATATAAGCCACACACAGATTGTGTGAATCTTGATCATAATAATGGTGTTCTTATAATGTCGACAACAAAACCCTGTGGTGGCTTCTTTTGTTTCAGTGGTTCTAAGCTCCTCCTCTGCATTTACTAACTCTGTTATTGGTTTGGGTTTTTTTTGCAGTACCTACAACTATTTGGGCCGAAAAACCAATCTGATGCTGGAAGCCTTTGCAAAGCCAGACCTTGTATTGGCACGGAAGTACCAGGTACAGTGTTGTCACTGTCCCCAGCAGGAGCAGCCTTCTTTGTCCTCTACCTTTACTGGGGCTGTTGTCCAGGCGGTTTTGTCATCCATACCCTGAAGTAGCTTTATTAAACCAAAGGTCTTTCAGCTCTGCTGGTTATTCATCTCTCCTCACCTTTTTTACTGGTCTGTACTAACTTTTAACCAAGATCTGCCTTATTTATCCTTCGCCTCTAATCTCATCTGGGCAGAGTGAGCAATGGCCTGGCCTTTTTTCTCAAACAAGGCCACAGTGGTCAAGCCCCTTGACTAGGAATATTCTAGTGATACCTTACATGATGCAGGGCAGAAAACTGTCCCAAGTCAGCTCTGCCTTGACTGCTTTTGGTCTTTGGCAGCTTGAAGACTTGTGAGGAGTCCTGAGCAATTGGTATACAATTTATACCAAATATTTTTATGGGACATTTGAGGCACCCTTTTGCCTTAACATAGAAGTGACTGCAGGATGAAAGTTGTTGGAAAGGTGATCTGCTCTAGGAAACCTCTTCACTAGGCAGTTGATATTCAGATTTGTAAACCTTTGGAGCCTGTTAGGAGACTTACTAGTGTTCCCAAACTGCTTGCAGTGAGGGACAGTTTGAACTTGAGGGATAGACTGAGAGGGAGTGATGATTTTCTTACATCCATCCCTCCCCTATTCCAGTGGAATTCAATTCTTATTCCCCATAGACTGGCCAAGGCTCTCCTCAGAGCTGTGCAACAATTGTGTAAGCTGTAAATATAAGAGCTTTAGATGTATTTACATGTTAAAATTTGAAGGTGTTAATAAACTACTGTCTCTCTTTTCTAGTTTCTCACTGGGGAATTTCTCAGCTTTGTCATCAAACTAGGTAAGTCTGCTTGTTTCCCTTTGTTTTATCTAAAAATGCAGACTTGGTGCTCCAGAAACTCTCGTTTTGCCATACCCTCAGAACTTCCTTTCTGAAAGATTTTACAGTGAGAAAATTTTGTGTCTGCTATTTCTTGAGTTGATAGCAGCTGGAAGCTCAGCAAAGGGAGCTGACCAAGCATCCCCAACAGATTCTACTCTCACTTCCTTCCCTCCTTTTGTTACAGCTTTAAAGCTGTGACTGTGATTTACCCTTTTTCTTATCCTGACTTTTTTTTTTTTTTTTTATGGTGGTGTGCCAGTAGGAGCAGCTCTGTCTCGTGCCTAGCTATAATTTAAGAGTAACTCTGTTCAAGGCTGTACAAAGACAAAGGATTTTAAAATGGAATGATTTTTGTAAACAAAACCGAGTTCTAATATAAAAAGCAATTTTAATCAAGTCAAAGTAGTGTAGGGAGAAATGAATCAGACATTTCACGCTCTTCACTTAATAGAAACATTTGCTGTGTTTTTGCTGTACATGTGCAAGCCTCAGTGAATCTACCTGAGCTTTAGTGCTTGGCTGTATTTCTCGGGTTAAAAGTCAGAGCAAAAGCATCATTATTTAGCTTTACAGATAGAGGTAAGCATTGAATTTTCAGAGGCACGTAGAGGAGACTTGAGCTATGGATAGAGAGACGTCCCGAAGTTTTCTGTGGTGGTTTAAGATGGTACCAATGCCAGTGTCACTGCCAGCAGGATATTACTGACGTCTAAGATGTGAATGTCTATGAACATACTCTGCTTGGTATCTTTAGGAGGGAAGCAGTAATGGTATAATATATATAAATGTAATAAGTAGGAGTAATTTTTACTGCAATGTCTTTCCTGTCTGCAAGCATGGTCATCTCTTCTTAGTTAGGCTCTTTTCACTTCCAAGAAGTACTTAAAGCCTGGTTTGTACTGAATTACACAGGAACTCTATGCTGCTGCTTTTTTTTGACACCTGTATAGAGACTGATTTAAGCAAAAGCACCTGTAAACGTCCTGGTTTTGCTTTTGTTCTCCCAGGTTTTGGTGTTGCACAGATTAAAGCTGTAATGACTTTTGTTTCTGGCATTCCCATGGGACCTCCACGGCTTCCGCTTGTTGATGCCTCCGAGGAGTTCATTGTCAAGGCCAAAGCCAAGCTGGATAGCACGGTGTGGCCTGATGGCGACTGATGTTCACTTCCATGTCGATCTGGAAGTGAAGGCTCCTTTTCTGGGATTTACTGTCACGTGGCACGTTCCCCACGTGATGGGCTGTGATTTCTTTCAGGGATTTGGCAGTGTGCCCGAGCCCCTTCCTGTCAGGACTAGCTTTGTTGGTGCACACACAGCCGTTTTTTTTTGGTGTAACTTCTCTCTGCTCCCCTGGAGCTCTGCACATTCGAGGAATAGCTGGCATCTTTTAATTAAAAAAGCAAGATTTCCCCACTTGGAAGATACTGACTCCTTGTCTAGAAAGGAGGAAGATCTGTCTCCACCTTCCATCCAGCTCGATTATGTTTTGTCCTCTCCCTTCATGAGCACTACACTGTGGTTAAACAATGGTATGACACTGGTGGCTGGTCAGACTGATATGTTACCATTTGTCACAAAGTCACTGGGACACTATGTGTTTAAATCCTGTTTTTGTCTTATCTCACTATGTTTGTATGCCTTTTCTTAATGAGAAGTTTTAAAAATCCTTTTGCAACCAAAAGCTGTTGGCTCTCTATTAAGCAGATATTTCCCCACCTTTTTCCTTATGACAAAAAGCAGCAGTTGCTGCACATCTCTATATTGCAATGCTGAATACTGTCTGGCATGCTAAAAAGTCACCTACTGTCACATTAAAAGGTGTTCTCTTGCACCCTGGACGTAACCTCTCTCCATTAGCTTGAGCTCTTACTGTCTGACAGCAAGTGTGGCTGATGAATGTGAGGTCCCATGCCCTCTACCTGTTAGCCTGTAGCTCCTGAGAGCACTCTTGCATGCAGAAATGACCAAATGATTGGGGTGGCTGGAAGAAGGGAGCACAGAGGTGAATGCGGAGGCATGTCATTAACACTTTGTAACACAAAAGTGTGAAAAAATCTACTAAATTATTCTCACTGTGTAACCACCTAACAAGAAATACAGAATAATAAAGGCTTCCTTTCCCTGCCTTTTTGAATTTGTAAGAAATTTAGGGAAGCTTGTCTTTGTCAGGTAATGGTAAGAGCGTGGAATCAGCCCCGGGTGCTGTGAGTGTGTGTGGAGGCTCGCTGTGTACCCTGCCTGGGCCAGGAGCACTGGTGAGGCTGCACCCTGAATACTTGGGCACTTTTGGGCCCCTCACTCCAGGAAAGACATTGAGGGGTTGGAGTGTGTCCAGAGAACAATGAAGCTGGGGAAGGGTCTAGAGCACATGTCTTGTGAGGAGCAGCGGAGGGACCTGGGGTTGTTGAGCCTGAAGAAAAGGTGGCTCCGGTGAGGCCTTGTTCTTGACAACTCCATGAAAGGTGGCTGGTGGAAGGTAGGGATCAGTCTCTTCTCCCAAGGAACAAGCAATAGGACGAGTGGAAACAGCCTCAAGTTGTGCCAGGGGAGGTTTAAGTTGGACATGAAGAAAAATCTCTTCCCTGAAAGGGTTGTCAAGTCCTGCATCAGGCTGTCCAGGGCAGTGGTGGAATCCCCATCCCTGGAGGGATTGAAAAGCCATGTAGCAGATGCGGTGCTGAGGGACATGGTTTAGTGGTGCCCTGGCAGTGCTGGGTTAATGGTTGGACTCGACGATCTTAAAGGTCTTTTCCAACCAAACGATTCCATGGTTCCATGACAACGGCCAGCTTCCACCACGCCCCAGTTACTCCGCTCTGCCCTGCGCTCTCGAAGCCCGGGGGTCGCTGTGCCGCTGCGGCGGTGCCGGGCTGC